TATATATACAATTTATTTATTTTTTCCAGAAATGTCTTTATTTGTTTGTTCATTCATGCTGACATTACTGTGGGTACTGATCTTGTATAGTGAATCATGTTGATCATGAAATGATTACAATTGCCCTTTGGTCCCTCATACAGAATGATTTGGTTTCAATATGTTATCCTCTGGCAAACTATTCTTACCATCTTTCAGTTGATCAGAATTGTGTTTTTGACTGGGCCCAGGCAGAATCTGCTGCCTTTTCCCACATTTTCTGCACATTCTGTGCAATGGAATTGCATGTGGTAAAATGTGTTTAACAGAGCTGAGGGTACTACACTCTTATTGGTAGCTAAAAGCACAATCAAATTAGTCAAAATAGTTGTACAAACACACATAGAATGGGGAATGTATAGAACTTCATTGAATTCTGCATATCTGCTGAGCCTGTTTATGACCTAACTTGTGACTTATGAATACTTAATCCAGAAATGATAAACTCTTAATAATCAACAAATTCCAGTTAAGTCTGTGAAAGAAGATCATGGTGTCTATATTGCCTGATAATAAATATGTCAGTGCTATATAGAAATCAAGGATGCTACAGTAACATCTTTGATATCTTTTCTCATATCTTTAGCTATTCTGTGTGCGTCACGTGAGGTGATGAGAAGTAAGCGCCTGACACAGGTTCTGGAAGTGGTTTTGGCATTCGGGAACTTCATGAACAAAGGACAAAGGGGCAATGCATATGGTTTCAAAGTGTCCAGCCTCAACAAGATAATTGACACCAAGTCAAGTATAGACAGGTCAGAGGTCAATAAAGAGGTTTTTAGCTTGTTCATCTAAATGCATCAATTAACGTCACTGTTTTCTGTTAATGCATCTATTACACTTTCCACCGCTACCATTGAGATGTTAAATTCAATTTACCGAATTGGTGTAATCAGACAACATTATTTATTTTTAGTAAATTTTTGTTCTCACTTAACTGTGTTCACAGGAGGCATTGTATGTTTTTTTCTTTCTTTTTATTCTAATAAAATAATTGCAGTTCTGTTTTCAAATTGCATTTTAATAGCATAAATTGCATCAAATCTTTAAAAAAAATGCAAAGCATCCATTCACTGTCAATGTGGATTAATAGCACTGATAAATATGTTTCTAATTTCTTTGCTTTAAACTTGAAATAAATTAATAATTCTATTTGCATTTTCTACAGGAACATCACCATGTTGCATTACCTGATAATGATCTTTGAGAAAAATTACCCTGACATCCTCAATATTCAACAGGACTTGGCCACTGTACCAGAAGCTGCCAAAGTCAAGTGAGTCACATGCTGCATACTGATGAGTTTAAATATAGTATGTACTATTGTTTTTGATAGGCTTAGGCTGTTTTGTATATCAGTTGGTTAAAGACTGTTTTTGTCTTACTGTTACTCTCTGTTACTGTTAGTCTGGCTGAGCTGGAGAAGGAAGTGTTTGTCATTAGGAGCGGCCTGAAAGCTCTGGAGGCGGTGAGTCATCCATCATTTACATTTACACTGATGGCTTGTACAGTAGTTGTTGGGGCACTCACAACCTAAAGGTTGAGATTTTAACTAGAGATTTTAAGATTCTTTCCATAGTCGCAGGACTGCATATGCCCTCAAAATGGTAGATCTATGACAAGCTAAAGCTCAGTGCTGGAAAGCGAAATTATTGTTTGTTTCACAATAAAAAAGAACAGTTTTGACTTCACATGGAATATTGTCTCTTATGAGATAATTAGCTGCTCCATTGAACTGAGAGACAAAGAACTTGGCCAGAATCACAATGATAGAGATGCTAGTTAGAACTGAGACAAATGAGTTCCCCATGGCAAATCTACTGTGGACGAAGACTCAGTATATACTCTCTTGGCAGACAGACCTTCAAATGGCTTTTGGAGCAAAGACCTTTGGCACCTTTGTATGCCAAACCACAGTAAAAGTGGATGCACTTTTTGCGTATGTAAATTTGGTTTGAAAAGTTCATCCACAGCATATATGTACAAATTGATTATGTAGCTCAAGCAGTCCATTTTTAAGTAGAGATCAAAAGATCTTTGGAATATTTGTTCCAAAACAAAACAAAGAGTACTAATGGCTACCATATTGGTTCTGAAAAATCATTTCAAGCTTACTTCCAATGTGATGGGTTTGTGATTTCTGGGCTTTCACAGTGAAAAGGATTCATCCTTCTGTCTCGGCATCCATGAAGCAGGCAGCTGGTCATGATAAGAGGGCATATGGTCATTAAACCAGGTGTGACCTATTACATCATGCACACATAAGGAAGAAGAAACTGTGTGTGTGTTTTGGCAAATATGTCAGGGATTAACCGAAGATGTAGGATGGTGGAGCATGCAGCCTATGATATCTCTATGACACTCTCAGAAAAAAAATAGTACAAAAGCTTTCACTGTGGCTGTACCCTTTTAAAAAGAAATATGTACATTTAGGGAAGATGTGTCAAGCACCTGGAGGGCCACTGTCCTGCAGTTTAGCTCCAACCAACTCCAACATACCTGCTTGGAAGTATCTAGCACACCTAAAGACTTTGATTAGCTTGTTCAGGTTTGTTTCATTAGTTTTGGAGCTGAACTCTGCAGGACAGCCCCCCTCTAATGGTGCTTTTCCACTGCATGGTACGGCACGGTACAGCTCGGTACGGTTCACTTTTCAAGTTTTTCAGGAGTTGCGGCAATAGAGCTATTATACGCAACTATAACGACATGTGAATAATCCCGCCCACTCTCAAGCGGTACTGAACTGCAGTGGAAACGCAAACCGAGCCGAGCTGAGCCGTGCCGAGCCGAGTCGTACCACCCAGTCAAAAAGCGTTTACCACACCTGCTTTAGAGTATTACTGTGCACCCTTTATGGGTAAATAAGGTACAAAGGTGTACTTTTTGAAAGGGTACTGCCCCAGTGACAGCTTTTGTACCTTTTTTTCTTAGAGTTATATTACCCAACATTATCAATAAGCACTGTTGCCGAATACTGTCAGTGGAAAGTGGCTAAAAGACTGTTTGCTAAATGTCACTACATGACAACACACCTGCAAGTATTGGAAACTAGATAAGGTTTGTCCAAGAAGTTGCTAGACTCGCTAGGCAATTTATAAAAAAAGAAAAAAGAAAGAAACCTCATTGAAGGGGTCTGAAAAGTCACTCAATCTAGTGACAAAGTCACTAAGTTGGCAACACTGGCAATAGGGTGGGTGGTACACAATGAAATCTTCCAAGTTATGGGTTGCCATGTGTGTTGCATTTGTTTTGCCAATCATGCTTTTCCACTCATTTGTGTTTCTTTGTTGTTTCTCAGCGCAATCCACACTCATCGTCATTGTTATCACTCTCCTCTCTTTCCTCTTCAATCTAGTTTTCTAAGTCTCTGAAGCATTTTGGAGAGGAGGAAGGTTGCATGCAACCGGATGAGTTCTTTGGAATCTTTGACATATTCCTGCAGTCGTTCAGCGAGGCCCGACATGATCTAGAGAACATGCAGCGACGCAAAGAGGAGGAAGAGAGGAGAATGCGCATGGAGGCCATGGTACATCTTTTCCTGAAACAGATATACACACAGAACACACACAGATGCTTACAGGATCCACAGATAATGTTCATCTGGATAATTTCACACTTGCTTGGAGGTCGTTCTGTCTTTCATTAACATCTGGTTTTGTTGAAGTTTACTTATTTTGTTGGGGAAGGTTTTTTACGTAAAATCTGGGCTGTCTCTCCTTTAAAGCTTATCGGTAAATGGCCACTTTGAGGGAAAACACAAAACATTCCATAAGTGATGACAGTAGTAATGTAGTTGATAAGCCTTGGAGTAATTTGTAGCAATGACCCCAAATTACATGGCTAATGTCAATGCACAGAAAAATGTGTCAATGATCTGTAAACCGGATTTACAAAATTTTACATTAGCCTTTTTTTTTCTTTACACTTTGTGATGAAGCTGCTGTTTCCATTCCATTCTTGCATCTTTCAAAAACTTTTCTTTGCATACCCTGCATTACATTGTGCCTCAAATTATAACATCCTCAAACCAGAACGTTGTTAAAAATCTATTCATTCTTAATGCTGGAGTGCTTTTAAAGGCTGTGCAAGCACTCCAACAGGCTATCTAAACTGGATGTGTCAAAGCCAATGTTCAACAAAAAAAAGCACATGGAGTAAGTCAGAAATAGATCTGTCTACTGAATCCAGCATATACAGAGTCATTGATTATAATTTGGTTCCCACATCCAGTGTAGGCCGTTGATGTGACCAGTGGTGACCAATGTAAATGTACACTGGACACATTATCTAATAAATCATAATTATCAGGACATGAAAATACACAGCTTTCTCACTTTTGCCATGTACATGAAGTTAATGCATTTCAACAAACAAATTCTCACTCGTGCTCTATGTTACGTTGAGGTTTGAGGGGCCTTGAGGGAAAACATTCCATAAGTGATGACAGTAGTAATGTAGTTGATAAGCCTTGGAGCAATTTGTAGCAATGACCCCAAATGCACATTTATTCACTGTAGTCACTCATGAGACCATGAATCACCTCAAAACAGCTCTGTTAGGTCCCTTCTGTATTGTGATGCTGTTATTGTAGGACATTTTCAAGATTGACCTCTATTAAATGTTTAGTTTGATTTAAAGCTACTTCAGATCAGAGGAAATAATACAGTTTTTCTGGATTGCTAACATTATAACTGATTCATTTGGTCCAATTTTCCAAACCATTCATTCAGTTCTTGAAACAAAGTCACATTTCTCAAAACTTCTAACACATTTCACCTGTTTTCACACGTTCTATTTGCTTAGTATTTTCTGCAAAACTCTACACAATAAATGCCCTCATTTTGACCATGTTCTCATTCTGAAAACACAAGTACACTATAAAATTAACTCAAGCATCACAAAATGAACTCAAATACCACACATGCATCTATGTGCAAACAATAAGTACCAAAACTGATGACACACCAGTCTGAATCTCAGGATACTATAAATAGTCACAGGTTGTGTGCTTTATAAAATGAATCCTACTGGTGGGAGTCAAAGAGAAGAGGAGAGGAAGAGGAGGGGAAAAGAAAAATGAAGGGATGGAGGCAAAGGTCATTTGTTGCTGATGAAATACAAAGCACTATAGTTGACCATGTTCTTGTGCATGGAATGACCAAGGGGGAAGCTGGCCAACAGGCTTATCTGCAGGGTTTCTATGCTATTTACACATACAGTATAATTACAGTACACAGTAGCAATACTTTAGATGAGAGAACTTCCACTATTCTGTGTACACCACCTAAACATAATGCCACACCCTATGATAGACGACTGTCTAGGGGAGCAAGAAAAGACTTACAGAAGACTTTCTGTAGGGGAACTAGAGAAAGTCTTCTGTCAGAAGTCTAAGAAACTGTTATAGTGTGGCAGAGCATGCTGCATTTATTTATTTTTTACTGTACAGTAATTGACAGTATACTGTATTGTGTGTTCATATACAATTCTTTATTTGAACTGATCTTTTCTAGTGCTTTTCATCTACTGTAAGATCACTTTACAGTAGTGTAATGATAATGACGTTTTCTTAGAGCTAATTGCTGAATTTTACGTTTTTGCACCCCTCTATTTATGTTGCAAACTGTAATAGACATTGACTTGCAAAATGATTCCTGATTCCCAAAAGTGTTTTGAATTGATCTCACTAGTGTTCTCTAGGAAGTGAAATAGTCTGTGTATTTGACAGGTTTGTGTGTCATCTGAGGCCAAAGATTAGACTCGGATGAAAGAGAATATGTTTTTGACTAAAATATTTGATTTTGACCTGGAAGTCTGAAGTTTGTACAAGTTGGTGTGTAGTTTTGAAATTGTGTTTAGTTGTGTGAGAAAATGGTTAATTGTTTCATGAATTGTGTGTTGGCAATCGAGAAAAATTGTAATATCATATGTTACCCTGAATGATCATGGCTATTTTAAATGTAAATCTCTGTTCATTTATCTATCCCAGCTGAAGGACCAGCGGGAACGAGAGAAAAGAGCAAAGAAAAGCACCGGAGGCAGTGTGTCAGAGGAGGTGGGGGAGTTTGATGATCTCGTATCAGCGCTTCGCTCCGGTGAAGTCTTCGACAAGGACTCTAAACTTAAACGCAACCGCAAGCGCTCTGTCAACCAACTGGTGGATGGTGGGGGTCGTGAAAGACCAGTCACCAAGGTGAACTATTGACCTCAGTGAATACAGTTGGAAGGAGATCAGAATTTTATATTCACAGACTGACAGGGAACTCTCTTGAAATGCCATACACTGCCCACTAATTTCCCTTTTGCTCAGACCAGTAATAACTGACAAGCTCAAAGATGGACAGGCTCACTGTAAGATAGTCTGGTTTATCCGCAGATGTGAAGGATGCCCTGCAATCTCTCTCTTCTTGTGTCTGCTTGTTCCTCCTTCTTGATATGTACAGTCACTCATACTGATCTCTTACTCTTGTTTTTTTTTTGTGGCGAAATGCACAACCTGAGTTCCAGTCTGGTGCTGCGAGGTCTCACAATGTCATAAGAGGTGCACATCACTTGTAGAATCCATATGGTTATCCTTCTAACCTGCCAAGGTTATTGTCCTTTCTCGGCCACCCATTTCCATGCTCTAATTTTAGGAGATTAGGAAAGAGTCCCATTTTTGGAAATCTGGTACCTCTAGTCTTCGGATCCAACTGTGCTTTTCAATTTAAAAGATGCAGCTGGTGCTTCCTAAACCTGAAAATTAAGGGGGGGAAAAAGAAAATATTGTTCAATCCTGGATGTTGGAACTACCACACCGGAGATATGACACTGTGGATGCAGCCTTACAGGTTGGGATACTCCTTCCCCAAGTGCCTCTACATTAACGGCATTCCGAGGACTACCTCCTGTAGGGAGATACTGATGAGAGAAAAGAGCACTTTCTCACAGATACAGAGAATATGATAACCGGAAGTCTAAAAATACGCTGAGTGTATTTAATGGCAGAAATGATACAGAGAATATGAAAACCGGAAGTCTAAAAATACGCTGAGTGTATTTAATGGCAGAAATTAAATGAACCCGTTGGATTGTTTTACTTCATAATTGGTCTCATCTGTCATATACAACTGCACCTTTTATCCAAATGCCCTGAAGTAGCATTCTAGGAAGGAAGGGACCATGAAATTTTGTTTAAAGAAGCAGTTATCTATGAGGAAGTACTAACATGTGTCTTTATCACTTCTTCAGGTTAACATATTGAACCTTTGGGCCTTGATTATATTGAACAAAATGATGCCTTGCTATCTAACTAGCTTACCATCTAAATGTGTATATCAAGAAACGCTAGGTACCCAGGTCTGGAAAAAGTTTGTAGAGAGATCCACTGAATTTTAGACTGTTCTCACGGTCAACATTATGTAACCCACTTTGGTTTTCGTGTATTTTGTTCATAATTTTTAAATAACATGTATATTTAGTGGCTGTAGTCAGGACAAAGGATGCAGATGTACATACAATGACCGTGTAGTTGGCATGGTGTGGCAGAGAAAATGGTGTTAGAGACAGGGAAGATGAGAGGCCTCTGATATGGATATAGACACAGATATGAAGGCAATGAGTCCAAACATCTGAAGGGGAATGTAGAGTCCAGTGAGATGGTGATCATGGATTGAGCCAAAAAAAAAAAATGCATGCACTTTCATGCATGAAAAATCTGTGTCTTCTGTCCATATGGGGTCACAGTGGGAGTTCTGAATAAGGCGATTGTGTTTATCTTTTAAGAGTTAAATATGGACACACATGGTGCTGATTGTCAATTTTTGTGGGTACAGCTCTGCCCCTTCTGACCCTGCTTAATACACAAGTAGGGTGTGAGAGCAGGGCTTCTGGTATATCCATATTTCTTTGCGCCAGCAAGCTAATTTATTAACAGTCCAAAAAATACACAAGTTTTAACTCTAAGCTTACAAGTGCCATAACAACAGGCCAGTGCAGTCATTCTCTCCTTTCTCACCTGCTTCAGCTCATGTGTATGTATTTAGATTTAATGATTGAAAGGTGTATATTTATGTTTGTTTGTTTTTTTTTATATACCAAAAATAGTAATTGCAGTCCTATCTATATTAAGTCACTTTTTTGTGACTAATAGCTTGAGATCGCTTATTATGAGTTATGAGTATTTTTGTACAACAGACAGTTCCAGGTTTGACCTGAAAAGAGCAGACCGTGTTGTCTGGGACATTTAGAAAAAGACAATTATTGCCCATTTAAATCTGAGCACTTTAAAAAAGCTTTAATCTGTCTGCAATTAGTTTGATTGCACTTCCTAAGGATTCCCCATAGAGGCTCTTATTAGACCTTATGGCAAAGTTCTAATCTTGCGCTGCTTAATTGGAGATCATGCAGAATTAGGAATGTGGGTTTGCACGATTAACTGTTCTTTGTGCACCAAATGAATATGACCCAACAGAAGTGAAGACATACACTTTGTTAAACAATTTTATAATAATATATTCAGTACTAAAAAAAAAAAAAAAAGATTATAAATAGTGCAATTTGCCCCTTGCCAAATTAAAATTGAGGTGTTTTGGGCTATTTATTTTCATTTCCTTTACATCTTTGTCATTCTTGTCATGAGAAGAGTGGTACTGCAGACGCTAGAAGTTACATTGTTCCACAGAACAGCTTTGGTGTTCTGCCTTTAAAGTTCCACAAAGTATTAAAATCTTCAGTATTATTATTTGTATTTTTTATGTATATTTGGTCATTGATTGTCCAAAACAGAGAGTTAGCTAGTTGCTTGATGCACTTTTTTTGTAGGACAGATTTTTCCTGCATCACAAACCTGAGCAGCCAAAGGCTGAAAAAAAAAGAAAATCATATAAGTATATATATATATCATATATCATACAAGTATATTTTTTTAGTTAAGAAATCAGGCCTACATAGATTAGGTGCAAGTTAACCAATAATCTGTGTTCCATTGTTTTATAAAACTGTCCTTTTCAGCTCTTTGATTATTGTGGATTGAATATAGATTTATATAGATATGAACTGTAATATGAATGTTAAAGAAAATTGATTATCTTTGGTACGTTACAAGATAAATATATGACTGTATCTGAAAACACCATGCCAACTGCCTAAACGTATCACTTGCTTTTATATTTGAGATATTTTTGAAAGATAATGTTTTGTCTCCCACTTCTGCTTGGTCCAATTGCACTTGATGTTTTCCCTATTGGCTCGAGTGGTGCACAGGTGTGGTTCTCTAATAATGTTGGTCTATTATTATTATCTGTGACATGAAACGCATCACACTTTGTACGCGTTCATAGAATGCTCCACCCATGATTTTGACAGGTTGTATTTGTGCCAAGTGCCCCATTTTAAAGGTTGACTTGACAAGGGCCTCACATAATGTAGTTCTCAAAATATTTTGTACACCATCAGTCATTGAGAAAAAAAAAAGAAAAGAAGTTTGAGGAATGTGGAATGAGGATTTTTTCCCCCTGTAAATTGAAGCTCTATTTATTTGCCTTAGTTTGCTATATTTTGTATGTATACACAGCATTATGAAAGAAATGGTATAACTATATTGTGATTGATATTTGTCAGATAGTTTGTATGAGAATGACAAGCCTTTCATTTATATATATTTGTTTGTTTATGGTCTGACGCTCAATCCCTCCACCTGACCCCCTTTCCATGCGACATTTTGTAGGGTAAAAATAAACTTGTTTCACTGACATCTGCGTAAACCTTTTACTTTGGGTTACACTTCTGTACAGCTGGCTTTTAAATCACACATATGTCCAATGTTGTACTATGAATATCCTAGGCACAGTCATCCATTTAGCAATGGCAGTTCTCACAGCTGCAGAAGTTGTTTCTCACGGTGCAACACGGCCCTCTTCTGGTCACAGAATATTTCACAGTTATTGATCACAGTTATTTTATCCAAACCAACTACTGCAGTTAAGACACGGAGCATATTACACATTATAAACATCAATTATATTAGAAAATTATGATGAACAGCATTCTGACAAATGTTCAGATGATTCAGATTTCAATTTTATGTATAAAAGAAAAATAACAATGAAGGTATAATTAATCTTGTTTGTTCAGGCAAGTCAGAGGCTGAATTTACAGTACTTTTGTAGCAGGACATCACGCAAGTATTCCATTTCAAAAAAATGTGTTGAAAAACTATTTTATATGAATGATATGAAAAACATTTTATTTTATTAAATATGGGCCTCGTTCATAAAACACAAGCAGAATGTTAGTTCATAAAACTACTGTAACATACTGTAATGAATTTGATTTGTTCCGCTCATGTTACATGAAAGAGGCTATACAAAAACCAGAGGTAATGTAATCTAATAGAAAGTGGTTGTTTTATAAGAAAATACTGTCACACAGTATTCAGCCAAAGTGCGAATTTTCAACAAGCCTTTTGAATAGAGTGCTGCAGTGGACATATTTTTGTAGGCCAATGAACAAAAGTTTATGATTCTTACATCACAAGAATCTTCACACAACTTCAACAACTTTTTGAAAGTGTAAATACAATCTGCAGGCTCTAAACAAACTACAGCACAGCCACATGACTTCAATGACACCACCATTAAACTTCCAACAACTCATATATATATATATATCCCTGAAAGTTTGAGTTAGAATACTTTGCAAGAGTGTGATTATTAACACAATTAAGCTGTAAAAGCGGACTGGTGAGATTATGTGTTTTTCTGTTTGGTGTGATGACGTTTAGTGTTTAAAACCTCTGTAGACTCATTGAGCCACTTGTTGGCAAAAGCATTTTTCAAGACAAGTAAAAGCTTTAAAAATCCCAAGGGTGTAATGATGATGTATTTTATATTGTGGAATAAAACGTGAAAATATCTTGAGCTTGTGTTAATTAAAGATTTTTTTTTTTTCAGGCCTTTAACCAAAAAAAGAAAAAAAGGCTAAAATGCTTGATGCCGGGTTTTGACCTGCAAAATGTGTAATCCCTGCAGCACTGAACTTTGCTCAACTGCGACAACCTTACGAAACACATTATCATTAGCTGCATTATCATTATCAAAATAAATCTAGACCAAAATAAAATACTCTTCGTACGTCAGGTAAACGAGTCTTACTTGAACAAGTCACATTTCATGCTGGGCATGGACACAGGAATAGTTAAAATGACAATAAGTAGATTAGCTAGAGGCATCTAAAGGCACATTTTGTTAAAGAAAACTGATTCTAGAGAGAAGAATTTAATACTGTAGCTACTTTCAAGCAGGTGAGATTAAGCCTGCGGTTTATGCATTCTTTAGGAATCAGGCGAGCGATGAAAATCACCTCTCTGTCCGCCTGTCTTGCTGAGCAACTTGATGTCAGTAATAACAATGTCATGGCTGACTGACTTGCACATGTCATAGAGAGTTAGCGTGGCCACCGCAACGGCAGTCAGGGCCTCCATCTCCACTCCTGTGCGGCCCGTGCTTTGGCAGGTAGCCTTGACGATGACAGCATGTTCTTCCTCCAGCAGCTCTATGGAAACGGAGGAGTGGTCAAGAGGAAGCGGGTGGCAGAGGGGAATGAGCGATGAGGCCTGCTTGGCACCCATGATGCCCGCTAGCTGTGCTACCGCTAGTGCATCGCCCTTGGCAAGCTGATTGGCACACACCAAATTAAAAGCTTTTGGGCCCAGGATGATCTTACCACAAGCCATGGCTGTGCGACTAGTTACCGCCTTACTGCCCACATTGACCATGGAGGCTTTACCCTGTGCATCAGTGTGGGTCAACTGCTCAGAGGTTCCATCAAGGCTGGAGGACTGTGCATCTGTTTGTGGTATTTTCAAATCAAACCCACATTCAGGGGTTTTGCTGTGGCAGTGCCGTGCAAACTGCAGAGTTGAATCTCTAAATTTGGTTGTTGACAGTAGTGCACTAAGAAATAGAATGGGAGGAAATGTTTTGGATTGTAGCTGTAGTGGCTGAGAC